TTTTTTCTCAATACAAAATTAAGCGGGATGCATTGCATTGCCAATGTGTAAAAATTCATTTTCGTAGTCATTAGCTTGAGCGGATGAATTTCTTATTTCTTCTCTTTGTTTATCAATTGATTGATTTTTATTGATCGCAAATATCGCAAGCAAATTATTCTTAAAGGCAGCTAATAAACGAGAGCAATTAACAGAAATTGCATGAATGAATATTGGCAAATTTATGCACATACATACATAAATACTAACACATACAAATGCATTAGGGTCTGTCACATGCAAAAAAAAGATAATTTTATTTTTATAACAACAAAAAAGGACGTAATATTTCTATTTAAGAAGAAACATGCCGGGCAAATTCTGTCAACCTTTTTGATGTCACTGGCGAGTATTTTTCTTATAAGGTAAGAGCCACTCTTATGTCCAAAATTTGTAAGCACCAAGGTAGTTCTGGCAACTACTTTTCAACTCTTCTTTTGTCTTTCGAAATGCAATTCTGGCAACTATCTTGGAAGCTATTTTCTGTCTTTCGAAAGAATAATTGTAAGATCTGCTAACGATGATATATTCTTAATTTTAAACCAAAAAACTATTTAAATAAATTTAAAAAAGAAAAAAATTACTAAAAGAAGATAAAAATAAAGAAATAAGTTCTGAAAATGAAATGATATTAAAATAATAAAAAAAACATTAGACGTAAAAAGAAAAACATTTATGAAACGAGTTTCTAAAAATTAAACGATATTAAAAAAATTTGTTTCTCTTATATTGTATCTTAAAAACGAGTTAAATTTGAAAGGAAAAAGAAATAAGTTCCCAAAATTTAATGAAGTTAAAAAAAAAGGTTTATTTTAAATAATAAAATTTCAAAATTTAAATACAATTCTATTACAAAAAAAAACATAAAAAAAATTTCCTAAAAAACACAATAAAGTAATTATTTTCTTCTTAAACAAATTAAAACTAAGTATTTAAAAAATTGTATATATAAAAATGAAAAAAAAAAATTATTAAAAAAATAAGAAAAAACATGTTTCTAAAAATAATGTTGTTCAACAACAAAATCTAAAAATTAAATAAAAATAAATAAAAAATATATAAGTAAATTTTGATATTCAACCATTTTTGTTGCTGTTGAGGCCGTTTTTAATAAAAAAATATTGTTGCTCGTTCACAATAATTTTTTATTAAAAGCGTCTCCAAGCTCAATAAACTTGTTGAATATGATTTATTAGGTCAAACAATAGCAAACATAAAAAGTTTCTAAAAACTGAATGAAATTAAAAACTTTATAATTTTGCTTTTTAAAACCTAAAAATTAAAAAAAAAATTGTTTTAATATTAATACTTTAACTAGAAAAAACATATATTTTATTTGATTTAATTTTTAGAAAATGATTAAAACTTTTTAATGTTTTTTGTTTTTTAAATTAATTTAGTAAATTTTATTGTCCTTAGAGAAACATATTTCTTTTTAAATTCATTTATCTAATTGTTATGAATGTATTTTATTGAAATTTTTTCTTTTTTAATTTAATTTACCTTTTAATTTAATTTTCAGAAATTAATATTTATAACTTTTTTGCGTTTAATTTAATTTTTTAATTTTTAGTTTTTATTGTTTTTAGTACGTTTTTATACACTTGTTTTAATTTCGTTTAAGTATATTTAATTGCTAATAGCAAACAAAAAAACGCTGAGACCTCCCCCTATCAGATTTTTCAATTAGTCTTCGAAGGTAAGAAAAGAGAAAGACTTTTGTCTCTCGAAAGACTGTGGTGAGTTGAAAAATAGTTGCCAAAATTGCGCTGTTAGTCACACCTAATCTCATACGGGCATAATGAATTGCTTTTCGATTATCTCTTACGAGTATACCGGAGTAATACCGGTTCGGTCGCATTTTTCCAGGTTATTGACAAAGTTTTTTTTTAACATGCATATAGTATATGTATACACCTATATATTTTCAAATGGAATGTTTGTATTTATGTAAATACATACATATGCATGTGTGTAACTCCGTAGTACAGGCAAAGAAAAAGAAGGAAGAAATCGAAAATTATAATAATAAATCAATTTATCTTTTCACAAAAATAATGCGTGCAGGGGTGATCCTAAAATACAAAAAAAAAACGAATACAAAAAAAATATTTAAGGATAGGCAGCTGTGTCTCCAACCCTTCCTTTGAATCATATTTGTACTAGGAGTGGCTTTAACTGCTGCCGTCAGTATTCAAAAGCTACATTTATGTTTTAATCTACTTACATACACCAATCTGTTATTTGTCTTTGGACTGCACATTTAAATACTACAACAAATACCGTGCATTAGCTAACGCAAATGTTTATATTGATATGTGCATATACATTAGGGTGCCTATCGAAAATATTTTTTTTTTTTGGAAATTCCAAGACCCTACCTCCTAATTTTATTCGTTTTTATGGCAAATATTATTGTCTATTTTTATAGATTTTTTAAGGTCATTTAGAGGTCGCGATTTTTTAGATTTATGAGTTTTTGAATGACTATTTTTGATTCGATTACCCCCTAATTTTATTCGTTTTTATGAGAAATATTGTTACTTATTTTTATAGATTTTTTAAAGCACATTTAGAGGTCGCGACCTGTCGATTTAGGACCGAAAATACGATTTTGTAGATTTATAAGTTTTTGAATGACTCATTTGATTCGACTTCGAAGATCTAATATATTTTAAGAAAAGGATATATATACCTTTAAAATGGTATATAATAATCTATTGTCGGACTTGGCTTGTTGGGATTCTTTATCGTGTAAAATAAAAAAAAAACAATTTTATCTTAATTTTTTTTAATTTTGATAATCGATAATTTCCACAATTTCAAAATATGTTGTACTATCTAAAATCAAATCTATTTTTAAATAACCTCATTGGCCTTGAATTTATATTGTTTATTAACCGGGCTTGCAGACTTTTTGAGCAGTGTGACTAAGGAACTGATCAATCTTTATTCAAAATTGATATATACTATCGCTCTTTAGCAAATAAGTGGTTTTTACAAAATTTTTGAAAAATGGGGTTGGCACCGCCGTATCTCAAAAACTAGTTGACGAACTCGACCTAATTTGGTATACACATTGTGCCTGGCCTCCTTAAGTACCATCTTGAATATTTTTTGAAATCGGTTCTTTGAAAGAATCGATAACAATAACAATTTCTATGAAGACGACTATAGAGATTACGCTTAGAAATCGGCAGCTAAGACAACGATGAATTCAGCGATATCATTAACAATAAAGTTTTCGATAACATCAACTATATTGAAAACGATAACGATAATTTAAAGAGTAAAACTAAGAATTCATTTCAATCTTAATTGAATCTGTTTTTTTTTTTACAAAGCGCTTACGATTAAGAACCGACAGCTAATGAATCGATAAATTTAGTGACATATTTAACGTAAAAATTATAGATAGTATTAAATATATCGATCGCAATAAAGTTATTGGTAACATAATTAAATCTGTTTCTTTCAATGTATCGATAACAATGTATCGATAACAATAACGATATCCATAACGAAAACTGAGGCAGTTACTATTGAAAATTTTAAGCTAAACCCAAGGTGTATTAAACAAGGTGTGATTGACAATTCAGTGCGGCTCTCTTTTAAGGTACTATAAGGTCAAAAAGTGTAAACAAACGAATTAACCCTTAGTTTTCCATGTATCTTGTCAGTACTGATGCCCTAGGCTTTTTTCGATTATAGATTTGTTTTACTTACATTACCTGGAATATATATATTTTGTGAATAAAATAAAACAAATTGTTTATAAAATAGTTTTAACAATTTTCTTGTTTTCAATTGCCCAAGTTTTATGCGTTTGTGCCTTTATTTTTATATTTAAATTTTTTATCCTAAACATTATTCGACACTTATAAA